TCTCAACCTTCCTAATGCCGCGACCCTTTAATACAGTTCCTCAAGTTGTGGTGACCCCCAATTTCATTGTTACAAATTGAACATAATTAAAGCATAGTGATTAATCACAAAAACAATATGTAACTATATATGTGTTTTCCGATGGTCTTGCGACCCCTGTGAAAGGGTCGTTCGATCCCCAAAGGGGTCGCGACCCACAGTTTGAGAACCGCTGCCTTAGAACTTTCATCCTACAGGGCAGACTGACAATAACCATAATAACTCAGAAAATTATAGAGTTTGTCCAAATGTGATAAGTGCTTTGGGTTAAAGGGGAAAAGGTGAAGGGAAATCGGGAGTATGGGGAGTTACAATTTTAAATAAAGTGGTTAGGAAAGGCTTCATTGAGGTGGTAATTGAACAATAATTTGAAGGGAGTGAGGGAGTTAGCTTAGACAGCTGGGGGAACAGCATTCTAGGTCAAAGGAATAGTAATTGGCCGGAGATTCCTTACATGCTTAGAGCACAAGCCCGAGGTCTGTACAGCTTGACGGAAGTGAGCAAATGGGACAGTAATAGGAGGAGTTGAGGTCAGCGTAATGAAATGGGGGCAGATCTATAAAGGTCGCACAGGCCATTGAAGGACTTTGGCTTTTATTCTGAGCAAGATGGAGGGCCTCAAAGGTTTTGAGCAGAGAATTAACATATGCAGAAAGGATCCTCATGGCTACTGTGCTAAGAACAGACCTTGGAAGGACAAGGCCAGAAGCAGAGAGACCCAGCCAAAGAAGCAATAATTCAGGTGAGAGATGACGGTGGTTTAGATCAGGGCAATGACAGTGGAACTGGGAAGAAGAGGTCAGACTCTGGATAGATTTTGAAGGTAAAGCCAACAGGATTTCCAGATGAATTGAATAAGGGCTGGGAGAGGAAGCAAGGAGGAAGATTTTGGCCTGAGCAACTAGAAGGGATAGAGTTGCCGCCAACAGACCCGGGGAAGAATATTGGTAAAGCAGGTTTGGGGGGAAGATCCAGAGTTCAGTTTTGGACATGTAAGTTTGAAATGCCTATTAGACCCTCAAGTGGAGCTGGATAAACAAGTCTAGTGTTCGTGAGAAAGGTCTGGGCTGGAGATGAAGATCACTAAGGAGTGCAGATTAAAAAGAGAGTAGACCAGAGACACTCTAACACTGAGACGTAGGGGGAAGAGGAGGATCCAACAAAGGAGACTGAAAAGGAGCAACCAATGACAGTGAAGGAAAACTAAGACAGTATTGTATCCAGGAAACCAAATGAAGACCACGTATCAAGAAGGAAGGAGTGATCAGCTGGGTGATAGATATGCTGGTGAGAGGTCAGCTAAGATGGGAAGTGATTTTAATCACTGGATTTGGCAACACAGAGGTCACTGAATACCCTGACACCAGTAGTTTCAGTGTTGTCGTGGGTGAGGGTGGAATTTTGCTGCAAAAGAGAAGCAAAGAAAAAAAAAGATCTTTGGCAAGAGAAGTGGGATCAAGACAACTTTTAAAAAATAATATTAGAGCAATAATGTTTGTATGACAAGTGGGATGATCCAGCAGAGAGTGAACAAAGATCTAGGAAAGAGAAAGGAGAGTCAGTGAAACCTTGTCCTTGAAGAAGTAAGGGAGCGGGGAGATCTAGTACATGAATGGAGAGATTGGCTTTCACAAAAGTGGATCCATGTGATTATGAGTGTCTTCAAATCCTCATCTGATTTGTAGAATAAGAATGGGGAGGGAGGCATTAGGGATCTGAGGAGAGAGAAGTTGTAAAAACAGGCACATGGGAGAGTAAATGGACTAAGGAAGATAGTACAACTGTTGTGCAGCATGAAGGGCTCATTGGAGACTCATGGTCATGAAATTAAAGGGAGACCAATAAGTAAGCCTGTGTGTTTCTCTCCAACCAAATTCAGCTCCATGATGATCATATAGAATAAGGGAAGAGTTTAGTTTTACCAATTTGTGGGTTTGCCAATTGAGTTCTACCAAGTGAGAGAGGGACAGGACAGCTGGATGAGGAGAGGAATGATGGCTTTGCTGAGGAGAAGAGAGACAGTGAAAAGATGGTGGGATCAATGGATTTGTGGTCCTGAGTAAAGTCAAAGGAATGATTTAAGGACAGTGTTTTGAGTTGTACTTATTTTGTCATTCTATTTTTCTATTTACTGTATATAAGTTTCCTTTTTAAGGAAATAATGGTATAGGCAGTGTTGAATCAGGTAAAAAATCAGGAAGGTGATGTATAAATGGCTAACTCCTGAAAACACTGGGTTGTATCTTTAAATTTCACCCAGAAAAGGCACTCCCTACCCTACAGTGACCAGGAAAAGGTTTGACCAAAAATCAACCAACTTCGTAGGATGAGGTGAACTAAAATGTTTTAATCCAGTGGGATTTCAGACTTTTTGATTTTGGGACTTTTCACTCTCTTTAAAATGACTGAAGATCCTAAGGAAGTTTTGTTTATATGGGTTATATGTAGCTATCGATGTTTCCAATATTAGAAATTAAAACTGACAAATGTTAAAATCTTTATTTGCTAATTCATTTAAAACCAAGGAAGTCATTACATGTTCACATAAAAACCATATATTTAAAAAATAATTACATTTTCCAAAAAAATTAAAAAGGAGCAGTGTTTTATAATTCTCTCTGATGTCTGGCTTAATAGAAGACAGCTGGCTTTTCATATTTACTTCTACCTTCGTCTGCTGTGATAGCACATATCAGAAATCTCCACTGTATATTTGTGAGAGTAAAAAGGGCAAATAATGTCTTAGGATTATTATGAAAGTAGTTTCCATTTGCAGAGCTCCTGAATAGATCTTGGAGACACTTCAAGAACTGCTGAACTGTTGTGTAAGGCAGTGGGAGTGAGAGGGGGGTTTGGTACCCTTGAAGGCCAATGTTCAGGAATGCAGAACACTGGAGAGGCCTATGAACAAGAATCCAAAAGACAGCAAGGCATCTCTGGGTCTCAGTTTCCTCATCTGTGAAGTAGAGATGTTGTCCCTGCCCGGGCCATCCCATGGAGTGCAATGAGGGAAAAATAAAACCAGAGTCAGAAGAGCATTTTGAAGGTTTTTATTCTCTACAAACACAAAACTAAAACTGCCTTAAAAATCACCAGACACTACCCCTCCCACCCATGAAAATACAACCAGCATGCTTTGCCCCGGCAGCCTGTTGCAGGGCTTTCTATAAGGACTCCTTGGCTTTGCTGATGGCCATCTGGGTTTCCTTTGCAGCTGGTCCATGGAGTGCTCCAGCTGGAATACAGTTGCCCACGTGGTTTCAATGGAACGCTTTCCTCCTGGCCCCATGTGAATGACGGCAAGTGGCACTCAGTTCTGGTGAAGGAGACGGACACTTCCACTCGGCTGTTGGTTGACAGCTCAGGCAACGGCTCCCTTGTGCTCCCAGAGAACTGCCAGGGCCTGAGGCCCAAAAGAGACCTCTTTCTAGGCGGCTTTGTCCTCTCTCACTCTCCCCCGAACGTCTCCCAGGGCTTTGAAGGCTGCCTCGATGAGGTCATGATCAATGGACAGGCACTGGAGCTGATGGCCCATGGCAAGAAGGTGGCAGGCTTGCTGGAGAGGCAGGACCTCACCCAGTGCTGCGCCCACAGCCAAGACTGCAGCCCGAACCCATGTCTCAATGGTGGGAAGTGCTCACAGGCCCTCGGGATAGGTAAGCACTTTGTATTTTCTGGCTTATTCACCAATAGTTAAAACAGGTATTTTCAATAACTTTTTGCTGATTGAGTAGCTAAGGCCCATGAAGACACAGTATCCTGTTCTAACTCACCCAACTATTCAGTAGCAGGGACACAGCTGCAGATCTGAGCACTTCACTTTTTTGCTTGGAGCCTTGCAATGTCTTCCCCCTGCTGTTCGATAGAGTCCCAATTCCTAATTCCTGCATATGGCTCATACCTCCCATGCCCCTCCCACTCCCCCCTTTTTCAGCAGGCTTGCCCACCCTAGCATCATTTTAATTCCTGGGACTTGCCACACCTTCCGCTCTAAGCCTTTACACACATTCTCCTCTGCCTGAAACACCTTCCGCTTTGCCCCTCTATCTTTCTGCCTAGCTAATCTTTACTCATCCTCCAGGTCTCAAATGAAATAGTGTCTGCTCCAGGAAACCTCCCCCAACACTTCCCTTCAATAAACTAATTTTTATGATAATTGCGATTAGTATTGATCCCAATTTTGCCACTTACTGGCTGTGTGGCCTTAAGCAAATGCCATACATTCTCTGTGCCTCATTTCCTCACCTGCCATTCCCTGATGAGGAGGATAACAGAAACCAATCTTGGAGATGTCGTGAGGGTCAAATAAGCTCGTTCATGAAGAGTCTTACTTAGAATCAGTGTTGTCTGGGTAAATGAGGAGGATAGGCAGTATTCTTGAGATGCCCACTCTCTGCAGGACTATAAGCTGTTTGAGGGCCAGAATCAAGTCTCCTTGACCAGCAGGGCATCAGTGGTCAAGATGGTGTTTGGCCCTCAATAAATAAATGTGCACACGGGTGCCTGCAGACATGCTGAGGCCTCCCCTCATCCCAGAGGGCCTCTCCACCTGGAGGCCTGACTGCCAGGCCAGTGCACTCTCTCACCTCCCTTCCCTTCCTCCCAGGCTATTCCTGCGAGTGTCCCCCACAGTTCTCTGGGAAACACTGTGAACAGAGAAAGAACTGCACTTTGACACCTTGCCCGGAGGAGAACGGAAACTGCAGCTCCTCCCCTGAAGGAGTCAGGTAAGCACGGAGAGGCCTCCTGCCATTGGCTCCTCACCCTGGATTTGGCGCCATTAGGGAATGAGCTCTGCTCTCTGAACTCTAGGGAGGCCGATGGGAGGCAAGAGGCTGAGTGCTCCGGGACCTGGCTTCTCCCTCCGACCACCTGCAGCAGAGCCTCTGGGAGAGGGAGGTGCTTGTTAATATTTCCCAGGCCCTATTCTGAACCTGATGAATCAGACTCCCCAGGCTGGGGCCCAGGAACCTGCACTTCTAACCAGCTCCTCAGGTGGCTCTGATCTTTGATAAAGTCTGAAAATAGCTCAAGCTCTTAGTCTTTTGCTCTGGACTGTGACTTCCCAGAAGCGACCTGGAGACAATGACCACTTGGTAGAGGTACTGCTGTGATCTCAAACCCCACTGCCAGCCAACTATACCTCGTATTATGCTGGCTTGGGGGAGAAGGTAGAGGGGTTGCAAGAGAAGGCGAATCAGCTAAGAATCCTAGAGGTCAGAGGCTTTGGCAATCTGGTTTGATGGCTTCCCAACTTTTGAGCCTTTAAGAAAAATCATGAGTGAGACTAATGAAAAATGTACATTCCTAGACCAATTAAATCGGAATCGCCAAGGAACGAAACCTGGGATTCTCCTTTTTTTTTTTTTTTTTTTTTACAAACTCCCAAGGGAGCCCCTGCTGTCAGCCTGTGCATAAGGGAGCCACTAATTTTACAGATGGGGAAACTGAGGCCCAGAGAAGGAAAGAGCTTACCCAAGATCCTCCTGTGTGTTTATAACCCAAGTCCTCTTTCTTGGCAACTGACAATTCCAACCCCACTTCACTTGCTGCTCTGCAGTACACAATGCTCTCCAGCCGGCAGGTGTGTTGGGAGAACACTCCCTGGCTGACAGTGGTGTTTGCATTTTAACAGAAGAACTTGGGGAGGACAACATTAAACCCCAAAGGGTAGTTTCAGGTACTGGGGGATGTTCGGGATCAAGTGGAATGGAGGGAGCCTCTCCCAATATCCCTTCAAAAGTGGACAAAGCCAGCCATAGACGTCTCCTAAGAGCCTTCCACCATGGAACACTAAGCTGAAGGTGACCTGAGAGGTCGTATAGTTCCAGGTGCTCTCTCTGAGAAGCTGCCCAGTGTAAGGTCTGTGCAGAGCCACGTTGGGTCCCTGTGACCTGCTGGTGATGCCCGGCTGGCATTGCTGGGTGACTGCTGACTTGTATTTGGGACCCTGACATTATTGCTGGAGGACAGCTAGGTATGTTGGCTGCCTCTATCGCCATATATGGTTGGAAATCGGACCTCATTGGTGAAGAGTATATCCAATGTCGAGATCTCGTGGGTGAAAATAATGGATGTGCTCAGAGTCCAGATCCAACCGGTCATAAATTAGGGTGTAGCTGAGGCCTATGTGTTACTGGTAGAGGATGGAAAGTTCTGAAGTTGATTTGTTGGTATGTTTGATAATTATCTTTTTTTAAAAATATTTTAAAATTGATTTTTAGATAGAGTGAAAGGGAGAGGGAGAGGGAGAAAGACAGCAACATTGCTGACAGAGAAACATCAATTGGCTGCCTTCTGCACATACCCAATGGGAATTGAGTCTTGCAACCGAGTATGTACCCTGACCGGGAATCGAACCAGCGACCTCTTGGTGCATGGGTCGACATTCAACCACTGAGCCACACTGGCCAGGCTCTTTTTTTTTTTTTTTTTGTGGAAAATTGGAGAGCATAGGCTTGAGTGCAGGGGTTTCCATCCACTGATCTTTGTAAGAGGGGTGAGGGAAAGAGCAGTGACTCAGCCCCTTCCTACTTTTCTGTTTCTGCAGGTGTGAACAAAAGGAAAGGGCCTGCTCAGAAGGAAAATGCCTACTCACCCCGGTGATCAAAAGGGGGGACTGGGGTCAGCAGGAGCTTCTGATCTTCACAGGGATCCTACTGTTCATTATTGCTAGCACCATTGGGTTTCTCTTCTACTGCCGCTATCGCAAGTCTCACAAGCCCGTGGCCATGGAAGATCCAGACCTTTTGGCTAGGAGTGTTGGTGTTGACACCCAAGCCATGCCTGCCATCGAGCTCAACCCTCTGAGCACCAACTCCTGCAACAACGTGAACCAACTAGAGCCCAGCAAGACCTCAGGTCCAAATGAATTCGTCACTTTTGGACCCAGCTCTAAGCAGCAGCCAATAGTCTGCAGCGTGCCTCCCAGACTCCCACCAGCTGCAGTCCCTCCCCGCTCTGACAACGAGTCCATCATTAAGAGGACCTGGTCAGGCGAGGAGATGGGTCAGTATAGCCAGAGCCCTTAGCCTTGGGGACTGGTGGAATGAAGTAGCAGACCTAAGCACTTCACTACCTCAGGCACAGGGGTTTTGGCCACCATTCAGTTCATGCTCTAGGAATGGGGTGTGAAGGGGTGTGTTCAAGGTCACAGTGAACTAATGAACAGGAACAGAAGCCAGGTCTCTGGACTCAGAGCCCATGGCTCATTCTGCTGCATCATGATCCACTCCTCTAAATTCCAAGACACTCCATAGGCTCGTTGTCCATGGCAGAAACCTATAGACTCCAGAAAGGAGTGGGTAGGATCCCTGGGTGAAAGGAGGCTTCTGCACATCTGTGCTCTTCTGGGAAGCGAAAGAGAAGCAGTCGTCCAACCTTCTGACTGCCCAATCTTAAGCCAGACCTAGCTGGCTGTGGGGAGCCATCTTTACCCCTTTCTTATCTTTTACTCAAAAGGAGGTGAATATGTAAGCACTTTATCTTTCCTGGCTTATTCACCAATAGTTAAAACAGGTATTTTCACTAACTTTTTGCCAATTGAGTAGCTAGGACCCATAAAGGTGCAGTTCTAATTCACACAACTATTCAGTAGCAGGGACACAGCTGGGACCAAAGACGCCTGGTCTCCAATCTTCCAAGGCACATCTCACTTAATCACCCTCTGTGATGTATGCCTCACATGTACTCCGAACTATGTGTTTCCTTCAAATAAGGAGACGAAACCCACCAGTAAGACTTGGGAGGGAGCTCCTGCCTCTAGCACTGGGGGTGGGCTGCATGGAGCCATCCATATTCTTCCCTTTTACATTGACCCTTTGATCAGTGGCACAGATTTGCAAAACAGGCTGGCTTTGGGTTAAGCCTCTGGCCTTAACCTTGGCCCCATTGGATTCTAGATATCAACCTAAGCTGCAAGAGACAACATGTAGATAGGCCACATATCCACCACATGCTAAGTTATCAGTAGTAGCTGTCAGGCCAGCTGGAACCTTCACCAGGGAAATTCACTCTATCTTACTGTTCTCTTACAGTGTATCCAGGCGGAGCCACGGTCTGGCCCCCTACTTACTCCAGGAAGGAACACTGGGAATACCCCAACTCTGAAGTGACCCCGAGCCCTCTGCCACCATCACCTCAGCACCACCAGAACCCAGCTGTGATGCAGGAGCCCAATGGCCTCTATGGGGGTTTCCCCTTCCCACTGGAGGTGGAAAATAAGCGGGCACCCCTCCCACCCCGCTATAGCAACCAGAACCTGGAAGATCTGATGCCCCCGCGGCCCCCCAGTCCCCGGGAGCGCCTGCTGGCCCCCTGTCTCAATGAGTACACAGCCATCAGTTACTACCATTCGCAGCTCCGGCAGGGAGGGGGAGGGCCCTGCCTGGCAGAGGGGGGCTACAAGGGGGTGAGGATGCGCCTCAGCCGCGCCGGGCCCTCTTATGCCGACTGTGAGGTGGTGGGTGGGCTTCCCGCAGGCCGGGGCCAGCCCGAGGCACCCCCCAACTATGAGGGCTCTGACATGGTAGAGAGTGATTATGGGAGCTGTGAGGAGGTCATGTTCTAGCTGTCCTCAGAGGAAGGAAGGTGGGAGGCCAAGGACTTGGCACCTTCTTCCTGTCTATAGAGAGTGAGTACAGCGTGGCTGGGAAAGTGGGAGGGAAGCCCCCATACCCATTCCAGGCTGCCATACATTGAAATGTGCTCTTCCAGACCCCCAGCTAGTCCCTGAGGATGGAGGGAAGCTGAGGGTAGGACTCGAAAAACAGCACCAGGGCCCCAGCAGAAAGGGGATGCACAGGGCAGCTACGCTGGAAAACCAGGAGAAGCCGACTCCTGAGATGGGCAAGAGGCAGTCAGTCTCTGATCTGCCGTCTCCCAGCGCCCAGGGAGGCAGGGCCTGAACTACTGGGTCAGCCCTGTTGGGGCACATCCTTACACCTGCCCACAGCTCCATTCTGGAGGCAGAGGCAGGCTCATGCCCCACAGGCTACCACTACACCCACTAGAGAGATGAGGTCCCAGGGTCTCTGACCCTGGAGGGCCACAGGGTGTCCTCCTAGGGGCTGACAGGTGAGCAGAAGGCGAGCAGTTACCAAAAGTCACCTATGCACCCTGCCTCATGCATATGTCCATTGCAGCATCTGCTCCGTGTCAGGTGCTGTGCTAGGCATCGGGGATAAGATGGTGAATGAGGGCAACAAGGGTACCTGAGGAGCATCACTATGGTCTCAGTCTCCTGGAGGTCCCACTCCTCTAATCCAGATTCCAACTAGGCAACTTGCCCCGCCTCTTTAAGTCACGTGACTTTCTACCAGCCAGGGCCAGTCAGGATTCCTGCAGCCCTGGACTTTCTTTGCTAAAGAAATCAGACCTCATGGAACTCTGGGTTCTTCATCCCAAGTTTCTCAAGCACTTTGGGCCAAAGGCAGGAAGGCTATCATTCATCATTTTTAAAAATTTTAGGCACTTTTCAACCTTGCTGTCTGGATGAGGGATTTTTCTTCCATAGACACAAGGAACTCAGAATGTCCATTCAGGGGAGGGTGGAGGCAGGGAGCCAGAAAGAGGATGCCCTGTCCTTGCCCCGCCATCTGAGAAGCCTGCCAATCTAAGTGTTACCTGCAGTGACTCAACCCTATGCATGGAGGGTCAATGTGGGCACATGTCTACACATGTGGGCACTCATGTATAGTACATTTGTACACATGTGTAGAGTGTATGTAGCCAGGAGTGGCAGCGACCAGAGAATTCTGGTGGCCTTGCTATTCTGCCCACCCCCCGTCCCTTTCTCGGGTCCACTACTTTTTCATGTGTTGTTTCTGGAGACAAAAGTCAAAAGGAAGAGCAACAGAGACTCTCACCCCCAGAGTTGCTGCTTACAGCGAGACGGAGGCTGTGTGGGTGAGAGCGTGTTTGTGTGAGTGGTTCGTGACTGTGTGTGCGACTGTGAGTGTGAATGACGGTATGAATGGCCTTTTTTTTTTTTTTAACAATAAAGTGTCTTTTTTACTGTTATTTTCTGTGTCATAAGGGTCTACAGGCCTTTCCAAGTTGAGAGCTTCACAGAATTTGGGAGCTGGAAGGGACCCTAGAAGTCATTAAACACCGTGATCCCCAAATCTAGCAAAATGGCCAAAATAAAGAACCCTGAGCCCTAACTCAGACCTGCACAATTAGAACCTCTGGGGATGGGGCCCAGGACAATACTTGGGGGAAAATGGCTCCAATGCTGAATCAATGGTCCACAGTGGACAAGTTCACTAACCAGCGGGTTAGTGAAAGGTCGGGACCAGGCTCAGGACTGCCGACCCAGCCAGCACCCTCTGCACCACACGCACTGGTTGGGGAGAGGGGCTTACTGTCCTGGGTCTTGGGAAGCCAGGCACGGCCTGTCCCTCCTTTCCGCCAGCCTGAGTCAGCCTGTGGCCCCTGAGGCCCGCTGGATGTGAATGTCACCAGGCGACCGTGGTCCACAGGAGCCTTGTAGGTAACACTGAGACTGGAAAGCCCAGTCCCTGTCCTCAGGCTTCCTCTGCAGACGGTGGCTCTGGGGTCAGACAGGCTCAGTTCCAAACCTGTTCTGCCACATCCTAACGGGCAGGTAGGACTTGCCTCTCATTTTTCAGTAAAACTAAGATAATAAATAATAGCTACATCATAATACTATCCTGAGGAATAAAAGTAAAAAGTTTATAGCTGCATAAACCATAAATGGTGATTATTATGTTAAGATATAATACCAAGTAATACACAGGTAGAAGTAACTTCTCAGAACTGTGCAGGAAATCACAAATAATCTAGTCCAGTGTTGCCTAAACTGTTGTTGTGCTTACCACTTTTATGATTTTTGCCCTGATAGAATACCACCTGTACTATTATTTACTTAATATTTTTCCTTTAGATTTAGATTTTTAAATTTTTTACTCACTTTAAAACGATAATACCCATAAGCTAAAGGATTTGAAAGTTACTATTTCTACTAGCACACATGAAAATACACAACGATTCGGATTTTTAAAAAATGATTGTCCAGGGAGCCCCTAAATCATCTTTGGGAAACACTGATCTCGTCCATTTCCATTCCCAATATTCCTCTCTCCAAGGCCCACAGAGGAGGAGGTGCTTGTCCGAGGTCTCACAGCTAGAACTTCACAGGGATGAGACCCACATTCAGGTCCAACACCCAACCTCGGGACCTCCCTACAAAACCACCCGCTCAGCCTCTGTCCACCCAGCCCACCTCTCCAGGAACCAGGCCCCTCCTTCCCTTTAGCCTCCGGAGCCTGCACCTTCATGGATCAGCCACCAGGGGACTCTCTGAGATCAAGACGTAGCCCAACAGGTTGTGGAAGACCCAGAGATTTTCAGGGAAACCCTCCCAGTCAGGCCACTGGGGCTCTAAACCTGAGAATGACAGCGCTTAACAGTGGCAGAGAAAAACAGTGACCTGGGTCTCCTGACTTCCAGGCTGGGTGATTTTTGTAGTTCACCATATTCATCCTCACTACCACCTCTGACTGACACTGGCTATATGTCAGGCACCGTGCAAGCACTTGGCACGTCTTGTCTTATCTAATCCTCACAAAAACCCTCATGACGTAAGTACTGTCATCTCCATTTTACAGACGGAGGTGCAGCGAACACAGAAATTCAATAGCTTATAGCTTACATTGGTAACTGAAAGTGAGGCCACCCAGTTGATGAGTGACTGAGCCAGGATTCAATTCAGGGCTGCCTGACTCCAGACCCATGCCTTACATTTGGGTTCATAAAACAAATGATAAGTACAGGGCATTGAAGGATTGAGGAATAGAAGCAAGGACTGAGAGGGCTTAGTGCCGTGGTCCAAGAATGTCACTATAATTCTAGGTGGTATTACCCAGTGTCTGGATTTGGGAAGGTGGAGTCTGCTCAAACCTGGGGCTCAACCCCAGGCCACTCCTATAATCCTGGTTCAGTTCTGAGGCTGGACCTTAAGAGGGTCGCCAGGAAGATGTAGGGGTGGGGGCAGGACTTACAACCAAGTCCTGTGAGGAAGGGCAGCTGGAATTCACCAGGACAGACAGCAAAGGGACATAAGACTGCTCCTCCAGGTGACGGTGGAGTGAGGGTGGGACAGCACAACTGTGCCATCACATAGGGTTTCTGAAGGCCTTGTACAGAAGACAAATATATCTTCCAGAAACCGGAGCAGTGCTGGAGGGAGACATGTGAGGTCGCGGTGGGGAGACTGAAGCCATGGCTAGAACCTCAAAAAATGAGTATCTGGAGCACAAGAAGGGCAGAGACAAGGCCTTGGGAGGAAAACCACTCTCTTTTGGATGAAGATTATGGAGATTATAAAAGGTAGAGGCGGGTAGGGAGAAAGACATAGTTTATACAATTTTCAGATACAGAATGACTTGCCGAGGGCCCACAACTAATTCAATATAGAACAGTGGGCCCGTCTTCCTGACTTCCTTCACCACATGAGGAACTGGTGAAATGCCACCTCTGAGGACAATGGGCCCAGGTGCTCAGCAATAACCCACATTGCAGTGCCCACGGACAGGCTTTGGAAGTCCTCAGACGTCCTCTGCCAGCTCCATCTTGAGGAGAGGCACAGGCTGTCTCACCAAATGAAGAACAGGAACTTTCTCACGGACCAGGCTGGAGAAAGACGAGCTTTAGAATCTTCTCAAGATTCCTCAACAAATCTATAGGTTGCACCGAAGGAAAGTGCTTAGACTGGCACAAAACTCAAAATGAATATAGTGATGTCAACTCCTTGCAGGCCATGCCACCACACTCCCTACTGAAACTACGCTGAATTTGGTAACCAACCAATTCCAGATACATGAGTATTCAGAGCAGCTTTATTTGCAATTGCCAGACCTAAAAACTATGTAAATCTCTTTCGATCGTGACTGGTTAAGCAAATTGTGGTACCTCCATGTCATGGGATACAACTCAGCAATAAAAAGGAACAAATAATTGATACAGGCAATAACTTGGATAATCCTCAAGGAAATTGTATTTACTGAAAGAAGCCAATGTAAAGGAAACATACAGCATAATTCAATTTATATAACATTTGTGAAATAACATAAGAGATGAAGAATAGACTAGTGGTGCCGGGAGTTAGGGATGTGGGAGAGTGCAGAAGGTGAGTGTGTCTATAAAAGGGTAGAATGAGGAGTCTTGTGGTGATGAGAGTTAATCATCTTGATTGTAGTGGAGGAAGCTACACATGTGATAAATTGCTTAGAGCTACACACGCATACATGCACACACACAAATGAGTGCATATATAACCGGAAAAATCTGAATGAGCTCTATGGATTTCGCCAGTGTCCGTTTCCTGGTTTGGATAATGTACTACAGAAGGGGTGGGGGACCTTTTTTCTGCCAATGGCTATCTGGATATTTATAACACCATTCATGGGCTATAAAAAATTATCAGCTTACAAACTAACCTGTTATAGCCCTAGCCGGTTCCTCAGTGATTAGAGCATCAGCCCATGGACCAAAGGCTCATGGATTCAGTTGCAGGTTCAATCTAATCCTGGGCGGGAGACAAACAATTTCTCTCTCTTCTCTCTCTCTCTCTCCTCTCCCCCGCCCCCCTCGGTAAGGGTTTAAAAATAAAAAGTAAAAACAGTTTATTTGTACACGTCTGTAATAGGCTGAGTCTAAGGAAGCCAGCCTACCTAGCAAAGAGCCCCATGTATAGCTATAGTCCAAATTCAGTCCACTGTCACTCTAGTTTATGCCTCCAGCAGTGCAGTGGGCTTACCAGGATGGCCCTGGTTACCCAGATGGAGGGATCACAACCAGAACGTGAGCAGAAATAAAAATGTAAAGAGGTAAACAATCTAAAAAGGTTGAATGCTCTATCCAAAGGAAGTGAGCAAAACATGACAAACACACACACACACACACACACACACACACACACACACGCGCGCGCGCGCATAAGTAAAATTGCTCTAGTCTTGGTTTTCTTCAATTCAGCTAGGCACTTTATAACATCTAATCCTCACAACAATCCCTAAGGAGACCTCCCTGCTAAGGCTGCAAGAGGGGGAGACAGCCAGGACCCTGGGAAGCACTAGGGCTCTGTAATCACAGGGCTTGCATGTACACCAGTTCTGCCACTTACTAGGCAGTGACCTCGAACAGTCACTGAATCTCTTTGACCCTCCAGTTCCAGTAATGATACTGATAAGTGAAAATGGTCTACCTTCCTCTCTTGGGAAAGTGTTATACTTAACAGTGTCCCTTGAGGGCTCTGCTTTTTGAACAAATCTAACTCAGTAGCCAACAAAGATCAGTTTTCAGATCCTCTAAGGGTCAGTGAGATGGTCTTGTTTTTCTTCTTAAATGTGACAAAAAGAGAAGGGAAGTCATCTCTTCCACTGTCTTGAAATCAGTCCCCCAATTTTTAAAAATATATTTTATTGATTTTTTACAGAGAGGAAGGGAGAGGGACAGAGTCAGAAACATCGATGAGAGAGAAACATCGATCAGCTGCCTCCCACACACTCCCCACTGGGAATGTGCCCTCAACCAAGGCACATGCCCTTGGCCGGAACCGAACCTGGAACCCTCCAGTCCGCAGGCTGACGCTCGATTCACTGAGCCAAACCAGCCAGGGCCAGTCCCCCAATTTTAAGAAAATTGGGTGTTACCTCTCATATCAGTCAGAGTTCTTCAGAGAAACAGAGCCAGTAAGATATATATATAGAGAGAGAGAGAGAGAGAGAAAGAGAGAGAGAGAGAGGATTCAAGGAATTGACTTATGTGATTGTTGAGGCTGCTAAGTCAAAAATTCATAGGGTAGGTTAGCAAGTTGAAAACTCTTGAGCAAAAACTGATGCTGTAGTCTTGAAGCAAATTTCTTCTACCTTAGTGAAATCTGTTTTGCCGTAAAGGTCCTTCAACTGATTAAAGGAGGCCCACCCACATTTTGAGGATAATCTCTTTTCTTTAAAGGTGACTGATTGTAGATTTTAGCCACATCTACAAAATATCTTCAC